TAAACATTTGCATGATCACTTTAAGAGATGTCCAAGAAGGAGAATTACGGACATAAGACGAAGGTTTTAACTTCTAACTTAGTGAGTGATGCAATGTCTTTTACTTTTGATCAATAGATGAGAAGAAATGAGCTTGTTTTTATGATCATAATGCATGAATATCCGCTTTCTATGGTTGATCATATCGGCTTCGGGAAGTTTACAAGTACTCTTCAACCATTATTCTGGTGTCCAAGTAGAAATATAGTGAAAAGTGATACCTTCAATATATATGACAATGAGAGAGCCAAAATGAAGAGACTTTTCGAAAAACTTGAAAGTAGAATTTCCATCACTACCGATTTATGGACAACGAGCAACCAAAAAAAGGATTCATGGCCATTACGACTCATTACATTGATAGTTCTTGGACATTACGAAGCTACGTATCGAGGTACTTTTCATTTCTTGTTAACTTAATGAAGCTTGTTTAATTGTTTTAGTTTAATGCTTCTAGTTTATAACTAATTTATATCTTGCTTTAGATTTATGTATGTTCCTTGTCCACATACAAGCATTGTCCTTGCAATCTGTTTTGGTTGATTGTTTGATGGATTGGAATGTTAAAGAAAAATTATCCAATATTACATTAGACAATTGTTCCACCAATGATTCTATGGTTGAGTATGTGAGGGATAAATTAAAATCTAAAGATTTGTTGAATTCTGGTTCTTTATTACATATGCGGTGTTGTGCTCATATCATTAACTTAATAGTGAAAGATGGGTTAGATGTCATTAAGGAGGGGGTTGAATGAATTAGAGATAGTGTAGCATTTTGGACATCAAATCCCAAAAGAGTTGAAAATTTTGAGGAAGCTCGCTAACTTTCTTCTCATTCCTATCACGAAGAAATTAGCTTTAAATTGTCTAACTAGATGGAATTCTACTTATTTGATGCTTGAAATTGCTTTATTATGTAAGGATTGTTTCTCTAGGTCGAAGCGTCGCGAACCTTGTTATAAGATTGCTCCTACTAATAGTAATTAGGAATTCACAAAGGAAATGTGTGGGAGATTAAAGATTGTTTATAGTGTTAATAAATTATTTTCGTGAACTCGATACCCCAAGCTAATATGTTTTTTTGCTAAAATTTGTGAAATTAAGGTTGCATTGACTCAATGACTCACTTGTCCTAATCAAATGGTTAGTGAAATGGCAAAAAGTATGTCAGCCAAGTTCAATAAGTATTGGAGTGTGATTCATGAAATAATGGGAGTAGCTATAGTTTTAGATCTTAGGTACAAAATGGATTCACTAGAGTTTTATTTTGAGAAGTTTATGGGAGTGAGGCTATGGTTCGGATTGAGAATATAAGAAAGCTTTGTTATGGTTTACTCGGTCGAGTACCAAAAAAAATAGAAATGTGGATGTAGGATGTGGTAGCTCTATTATGGCTAATCCTTCAACGCTTTATGAGGATATGAAATCCGAGTTTGACTTGTATGTTTCAAGAAAAAAGACCAAGGTTACTTTTGTCAAGACAAAGCTAGACTACTACTTAGATAAGGGTGTTATTCCAAGAACCAAAGATTTTGATATTTTAGTATGGTGGAAAGTAAATGGGGGTGAAATACCCTACTTTGATGGCAATTGCTAAGGATGTGTTGGCAATCCCCGTGTCAACCGTTGCTTCGGAATCGCCTTTTAGTGCTTGGCGGCAAGCTAGTAAGTCCATATCGAAGTAGACTTCATCCAAAGACGGTGAAAGCATTAATGTGTGCTCGAATTGGTTGTAGATAGCTGAAAATAAAAGTAATGTACTAAAACTCTACATATGAATTTGATTTTTTTTATTAATTTCTTAAAAATTTTATGTATCTTATTTATGTTTGTTATATTTTTTTCTAGGTGGAACTCCATTTGTTTTAGATGTTTATTGTACTATGTATGAGGAGTATCCGTAAGAAGATGAATGTATAAAATAATATGTCAAAGTTTAAATGACAACATTGAAAAATTTTGTGATGACTAATTCACTTTTAATTTTAATGAATGTGTAGGATCTGCAGTAATCGATGATTATGTTAAACTTCAATATGATGAGTGAGTCTTGATGATCTTTGAGTAGTACATGCAAAGATTTATTTTTTTAATTGTATTTGTGATATTTTATCAATTTAATTAAGTATGTAATTTAATTCGGTTGAAAATGATTTAATATATTATGAATTGTATTGTAATTTTGTAGTTGAATAAGCTAAAAGATTACATTGAACTCCATTTCCCTTTTTGTTTTTAACTAATACTTCCTTGATGTTATATGTTGTTGTCAGTTCTAGTGTCATGTTTTTTTATTGTTTCTCCAAGTAGTTAGGAGGGTTTTGTTGAGTTAAGTAACTTAACTTGATCTCTTGCTTAAGTTCATATCCTTATATAATAAAGCAATTTATGTAAATTATGTTGATCTTTTGCTTGGGAAATAAAATTGTGCAAATTGTTTATGCTCACTACGTAATCTGTAAAAATGGGGCAAAACGGGGCGGGGTGGACATAAACAAGTGAAACGGGGCCTCGTTAGCACCGCGGGGATCCCCGTCCCCGTTTGGGGAGCGGATGGAATGGCAAAGTTTGCCCTGTTCGGAGCACGAGGCGGGGATAAGGAATTTTTTTAGGGGCGAGGCGGGGATAGGGATGGCGATCCCGCCCGCCTCGCCTCGCCCCATTGCCATATCTAGGTGTAACATTAAAGTACTAATCTTCTTACAATTCCATTGTTTTGGGGCCACATCACTCTTTCATCATTTTTCTTTTTCCATAGCATTTTATTTTGCAATTACATTTTGCCCGTTTCTTCCACATCCCTTTCAATTATATATATATATTCCTTCTTACTTTTTCTTGTGTTGTTTTGAAATTTTGTTGATTTTGTTTCATAAGCTACACACCTCATAATAGCGCATTTAAAACATTATGAATTATAAATTTAGTATTTACTTTGTATTGATGGATATACGTACAATTAATTTGAATATTGAATTTGTTTTTTCAAATTCATGTATGCATGCATATGTTGAATGAATTTGCTTTGATTTTCTCTACAAATTGACGGAGCTACGGCACTACCTATATTTATTTTATTTTAATAACTAATAAGACAACAATCAACAAGAGTCAACGATTAAGTTATAGGTTTTTAAACACGAAGGACTATGCTACAATAGAATTCGAAATTAAGGACTAAAGTGTAACTTATTATTCTTGTTGCCTTTTGAAACTTGCCCAACAGCCCCACATTCCTCAACTATTCAAATTTTCACTGGCCTTCTTTATTACGTTTTCCAATTTAAGCCACCAATTAGGACTCTTTATGTTCAGTTTTTACTTTTGTTTATGTGTCTGGGTCTTTGGTCTTCAGTCCTTACAGTTTCTTTCTTTAACCAGGTCATATTTTTATGGTCTTGCCTCTTGAATTTTTCATTGAAAAATCAAGAACAAATTTATCAAACATGTGTGTGTTTTGCACAGACAGTGATAAGCAGTTTTGTAAGGTATGTTAAAGCATTTTCATTTTACCGAGGTTCTTTTTTGGATAGTTTTTGCTTGATTTTTGTTTTCTTGGTTTGGTTGGTTTTGTTTATCGACTTCTTGCTATTTTTTTCCTTGTGTTTTTTTTTTATGGCTTTTGGCTTTTGGGTGTGGTTCTAGAGAGAACCCATTTGATAGTTTTGATTTAAAAGTGTAGCTGTAAAGAGTATGGGGTTTTGTGGGTTTTAGATATTTTCATGAATTGTTGTTTCAGTATGTATGATCTAAGAAGGGGTTTGCTAGCTTTCAATCTGAGCTTATTTTAAGGTTTTATGATGATAAACAGTGATGTTATGGATACATAGAATTGCAGTTAGTAGAAGTTGTGAGTAAACACAGAGTACACTAAGTAAAGATGGGCAGTGGATTGGAGAGGACTCTTGATTGCATTTCTTCCCCAATTTGGTTCTTGTGCATGATTTGTGGCTCTAACTTGACTGATGCGAGGAAACACAGTTCACTGGAATTCGGAAGTAATGAATGGCTTGTATTTTGTTTTAAGTTGTCATTATCAAATGTGTTTTTGCTCATTATTTAATGCATTTGAACGATGAACACACAGAATTTGCACTGTTGCGGTTTTTGCTAAAACACATTCTTACCATAGGAATAGGAAAAGCCAGAATACGTATCCTTGAAACATGGATGGAAGTTTCTGTTTCAGAAAGCAGGTGATGGACAGCAGAGTTTTGTCTGGTCATCTTCCTTGTTTTTCCAACTTTTGCCACTCTTTGATGCCTGTCCTGATAATTGATTTCTGAAATTTGCGTTACAAAGGTCAACATGTAAAATTGACTTTTGGATTTTCTTTTTGCCATTGGTTCATTGTATAAACATATATTCTTAGGTTTGTCTTTGCCTATGCATTGTTAGCTTTTCATACTTGAAAACGCATGCTTTATTACGATAACCTGCTCTGTTGAATGCTGCTTCTCAGTTCCTTGAATTTAGTGCCTAAAATTATGCACGGTTGCAATCTTTGTTTGTTACCTACAACTCTGCTCAGTCGGCTTATTCCTTTAAATCTGCTTATATAAAATTGCATTATAAGAAACACTTGGATTACCTTTTCTTCTTCCACATTTTTTTATGAGGGGGTTATTTAACTATTTATATCTAAAATTCTGGAAAATGTGAATATTTTGCTTTTAGTTTATGTGGTTTTGTTCCTTTCCCATTCGATAAGTTATAATCCTTGGCAAGTAAGCATTAACAACCATAATACTAAAAGGCATGGGAGAGGCATAGAGAGAAGACTATTTATTATCGTTGTTATTGTTGGTGAACTATGTGCTTTCTGGCATGACTAGTCCTACTTTTTCAGGGAAAATTCTTTCATTTTACATGATAATTTTGTTTGTTTATTGCAGTGAGCCTGCAGAACATCTCAACTCAAGATGTTTTCATTGTCTAAATTTCAAAAGAGACCACAGAATGGTTCATAAAGGTGATTTGGTTGTTATTGGAATCTCCGTAGGTTTGGCCCTTGGTATCTTGATAGCTTTACTTATATTTTTTGGCATAAAGTGGTACAAGAAGCGTGCTAATCTCCGACAGTGTTCAAATGATCATAGTCTTCCGACTCTTCCAATACGCATGAATGGCCTGGGTACAAGCAATGACTTTAGTGCATCTCTTGCAAGTTCCATTACCATCCAGGGATCAGAACCTAAGAAGAGCTCCCAGGTTTCTTCTTGGTGGAATCATCACAGTAAAGATCGGTTTGCTTCTGCATCAGGCATACTTAGATATTCTTACAAGTACGTAAATCTCTAAAAAGGAAGCAAGTTTTGTTATTTTGCTGCATTAAAAATCAACTTATGCTATGAGTGCTAGCTCTTCTTTTTCTGGATAATTCATTGACCACATACAAGTTCATTTCTAAATCTATTTCTTGATAAAGAAAAAGAATACATTCCTCTTAGTGTACTGAAAGATATACCCATTGACAAGATATTAATCCCACACAATAGAGACTTTTCTTTGTATATTCTTTCCGATTTGTTTCTTTTCATTTCAAATCTCCATAGTCAAGAGGGTAGTGCTGTGATATGGGTAGCCAACCTCCTGTTTAGAGGAGATTTGATTTTGGATCTGGGGTATAGCACCCTGCCAACTTTATTATAGTAAACCTAAATATAACTTACAAGTTGGCTTCAGAAATCCATCATGCAACTTGTAAAGCATAGATTGATGTCCTAAGTTATTGCCTTTTCTTTTCCAGGGATATTCAGAAAGCTACACAAAATTTCACGACTGTTTTGGGACAAGGTTCATTTGGTCCTGTATATAAAGCAGTTATGCCTACTGGAGAAGCATTGGCTGTGAAGGTGCTTGCTTCTAACTCAAAGCAGGGGGAAAAAGAGTTCCAAACAGAGGTACTACATTGGAACACTTCTACTCGAGTGTATGCAGAACATATAATTACTGCAAGAGATGCCTTCGTGGCATGTTTAAGACAACTTTCTCATTCTACAGTGACAAATTTGATTCTTCTGAGGCCCTTCTTTTTCTAAATACTATAATACAATTTCTAAATTTTGAATACATTGTCTAAGATAATAATGGTCTACAATGCACTGGTGATATTTCATGTGGCTTGTACTTTTTTCAGTATAACAAGGAAAATGTCTCAAACAATGATAAAAGAAGATTGATCATCACAGGGAACATTCTGGCCAAACAAGGTCTGTCTGACTATTTGTTCATAAATGCTACCAAACTCAGTGATGTTCAGAGATCAATTACACTAATCAAAAGAAAGGTTCCTTGTTTCAAAAGATACCACCACAAATTTTTGGGAAAATGAGGAACTAAATGCGTAAAGGCAGGGTTATGGAGCAGTCATTGCTACCCATTTTTGGCAAATTTTGCATTTATATCTACAAACCTTTGCAAAAATTCTTGCATTTAATTGTATCTGAAGTTCCTAGAAAACATATTGAGTGTTCATTATTTAGCCTGGTCCTTTTGCAGGTATCTCTTTTAGGAAGGCTGCATCACCGCAATCTTGTGAATTTGTTAGGATATTGTATAGATAAAGGAAGCCACATGTTGATTTATCAGTTCATGAGTAATGGGAGCTTAGCGAACCATCTTTATAGTAAGCTAAAAGGCCCCCACTTATTTCATTCTTTATTCCTTGTGATGAACCATCTATTGGTATGTAACCACCGATATGAAAAGAGCATTCTAGATTAAAACTGCATTGAACATTATGATATAGGGCTGCCATCCTTTTTTCTGGTTGTACTAATAATTTATGTGGTCGTCATCTTACAATCATCTGTAAACTGTGCAAATATTGTTGGTTCACTAGCTAATAATTTTAGATTGCCATTTTCTACAAAAAGGGTAACTATTGATGCAGAAATGGGAACTTATGATGTCAGAGTTCCTAAGTCACTTGTGTGCTCAATGGGTTGTGTTAGCATTTGCTACATGTGGGTGAGGGTTGTCTATGTTAGCCAGTTTGTTAGCATTAATGTTTTGCTTTTGGACTTGTATCGTTAATTCCATCCAGTTATATGATTGTTTGCTTTCTCGTCCAAAGTAAAGACACCAGTAATTTGCAGAACATCCTTGGCGTTAATGTTTTGCTTTTGGACTTGTATCGTTAGTTCCATCCAGTCAAATATGATTGTTTGCTTTCTTGTCCAATGTAAAGACACCAGTAATTTGCAGAACACCCTTGGCTTAAGTGGTGTAGTAATGTACTGGGTTCAAATCTCCATTCCTTCTTCCCCAAGGCCATGTCTCCCCTTGTAACAATAAAAAAAGTCATCAATTTTATGCAAAACAGTTTACTGCTGTTATTTATCTGCTTTTGGTGATTGTGGTATCAGCTGAATGCTACTTTTAGACTTACTCTGATACTTGAAGTTCAGGATGTGTGCGCAAAGATATTTTGTTAGATTCCTTTTTTTCTTTTGCGTGTTGATTGTATACTAATAAATTTCCCACTAGATTTGAAACTAGGTCCATTCTGCCTCTTTCATAAATCAAATGAAAATTCTTTTTTCTTTTCTATTTAATCCCTTGACGCTTAACATTCTGGCTGTGCATGTTACCAGATGATGAAGAACAATTTTTGAGTTGGGAAGAAAGACTTCAAATTGCCCTTGATATTTCACATGGAATTGAATATCTTCATGAAGGGGTAGGTCGAATCCGAATCTCTTTGTTCTCTTGGTGGAATGCTGGATTTGCTTGTTCCATTAATATGACCATTATTCTGGCACAGGCAGTCCCACCTGTTATACATCGTGATTTGAAGTCTGCAAACATATTGCTGGACCAGTCAATGAGAGCTAAAGTAAGCTAGCATGCTTAAATTACTGATAATGCACACTTATGTTACCGATCTATCCATGGAGCAACAAATTAAATGACCTCCACCTTGGGATTTGAAATTTCTACTTTTGCATGCAAAGTCATGCTCTTTAGTTAATTAAATTTTAAGATGTTGGTGATGAGCTTTTGCTGCTAGCATATTGTTGCTTAAAGTGATATTTTGTGGAGTACAAATAGCTGAAAATATTGATTAGTAGAAAACATAGATCAAATTTCATGTTGTGTACATTTACCTCTGCTGCTGCTGCCGCCCTGTGTGTAGGTTGCTGATTTTGGACTTTCAAAAGAAGAGGTCTTTGATGAGCACAACTCTGGCTTGAAAGGTACATATGGCTACATAGATCCAGTGTACATATCCACAAACAAGTTCACCATGAAGAGTGACATCTACAGTTTTGGTATTATCATCTTCGAACTTATTACAGCGATCCACCCACATCAAAACCTAATGGAATACGTTAATCTCGTAAGTCTTGTGCTCCCTTCTAGCTAATAGATTTCTTTCTTTTAATAATTTAAGATTATCTGAACCCAAAATTTTTGCTTTTGTGATTTCTATCTTTTCCCCCTCTTGGAAGGCTGGTATGAGTCCAGATGGTGTTGATGAAATACTAGACAAGAAGCTGGTTGGAGAATGCAGAATTGAAGAAGTGAGGGACCTAGCTGCCATTGCCCACAAATGCTTGCAAAAATTCCAAAGAAAGAGACCTTCAATAGGAGAAGTTTCACAGGCTATATTGAAGATAAAACAAAGGCGCCTTGATAGGGAAAAGTCTAGAGAATTTTCACGAGTTGTGAGCAGGATACAGGATCAACAGGTGGAGTTGAGTAGGATGGCCAGCATAAAAGATGACGATTGAATGCACAGAGGATCCTTTTGCTTCTTTTATCTGTTCTAATCACTCCCTGTTCAACTTTCATCAAACTAACATGATATACCACATAGGCACCAATGAGTTTTGTAAAACTGGAGTTAAGGTCCCTAACCTATCCAACAATAGAGAAAAGTTCAGAAATATAAAATGTTTGTTCTTTGTGACCAATGAGGCCACTTCTTTTTAACTATCGAGATTCAAGGTAGCTATTCGCTTGACCAAAATGGTTTAAGGATGATAGATAAGTATATTTTGTCAACGTAAATGTTGTAATTCATTCTCTCTTTGTTCCACAGTTACATATATAGTTGGCTGCACAGAACGCGTTTAATACTGGGAGATATATGGGTCTATCCTGTTGATGTCAATCTCGATTTTATAGCGACTTTGTTATTCTGTTGAATAAGTCAAGGTCAGTGGGTTAGTGTTCCTGATACAGGGAAATCAGTTTTAGAAGGAAGAGAGATTGAGGCAGAGAACGGGAAGGGGAGAAGAAATTGAATTGGGGATCTCTCTCAATTGGGGCTGGAATAGAATTGGGGATTTCCTTCAATTGGGCTATAAATGGGATAAGCAACCAGCAGGCTTAAGGTGTAATGGACTGGGCATTCAGTTATAGAATTGGGCTAGATGTATGGGTTGGATTTAGAGTTAAACTTGTCATTTTATGGTTTTTAGATTAATAACAAAGGGGAGGAAATGTAATAGAAGAAGGAATGCTATATATTGTAACGGAATGATACTATGTACTACAATAAACAATATAAAGTTATAACAAACTTTCTCTCTCTCTTTCCTATGTGTCTCATTTTGTTTCTTTCTCTCTCTCATTCTATTCTTCATCTTTGTTCCTTATTCTTCCACTCGCATCATTAGTATCGAACTCGTTGTTCCAAGGCCAAAAATGCCAAAATGGATGACTTGCATAAGCTAGAGGAGTCAATGAGGGTGATGGCTAAGAAATAAAATAAAAAAATAAAATAAAATAAAAATGAAGATGGTATCCAAAAGCATACAAGACCATTCCATAAAACGGGAGATGGTTCAAAAATAACAAGAAGAAGGATTTGCGGAGCTCAAGAAGTTGCTTACCTCTCTAATGGTTTCTTCGACCACACCTACTATCCATAACCACGCTTAATCCTCTAACTTAACCACGATGCCCCCACCACACCACCAAAGTGTTCCACACACACCTATCAGTATAAACCCAATATTGCCTATACCTCCTATGACAATGATGCACCCTTCCTCACATCCTATTACCCTCACACAATACAAAACAACCAACCTTAATCTAGATGTGAGCCATTGCTGTAAGGAGTTTCTTACCTTTGATGGTGATGATATTGATAATTGGTTATGTCGGTGTTACCAATTTTTTGAGATTGAAACAATGGATGAATATGAGAGGGTTTAATATGCTTCTTACTTCTTGGATGGTAAAGCTCTATATTGGCATAAAGCTTACAACCAAAGCTTGGATAGGAAGCTAACTTAGAAGGAGTATGTTACCGCAATAATAAGCGATTTGGAGCGAAGTGAAATCCACTAGGTCGGTTAAAGAACCTCTCTCAAACTTCGATTTAGAACATACATTCTTGAATTAGATGTTTTGTGGAATCGAGTCGCTATTAATGAACAACAAGCTTTAAACATGTTTTTAACTAGACTAAGGGAGGATATTTATGATCCCGTTTTTATGTTTGAACCTCAAAACCTAATCAAGGCTTATGAGTTATTGCACAAGCAAGATAATACAAACTCCTACAATAAGAAACACTATTCTAAATCAACAATCCCTTATTTCAATAAACCCTTCTTCAACCATCCTAGATTTCCAATACCCACTGGACCAGTACAAAACCCCCACCCATGCTCACACATAACCTACCAACTCGCTCGCAAACCCAACTTCCAGATCAAAAACATTAATCAATAAGGAGTTTGAAGAAAAAAGGGTCAAGAATCAATGTTTTTGGTGTGATGAAACTTATGCTCCTCGATATAAGTGTAAATGGAAGAGACTTTTTCTATCCAAGTAGTGGATAAGGAAATTAAAGAATGGGATTTAAAAGAAAATCAACCATCGCGGAAGAGCCTTCAAAGATTCCGCCCTACACATTTCTATTAATGCATTAGAGGGGTGGACTGGTTTTAAAACTTGAAGAGTTTTGGGATATGTAAATCAAAAACCGATGTATATCTTGGTGGACTCAAGTTCTACTCATAATTTTCTTAACCTAGAGATAGTAGAGAGCCGAGATGCTATTTAACTTTCTTAAGTCCACTCGTGTAGAGGCTACCAATGGGGCTACTATGTTATGCATATCAATATGCAAAGGATTTCAATAGGTTATGCAAGGTATTAAGTTTCATGTTGATTTATTAATCATAAACCTACATAACAGTTGATATGATATTGGGCATAAAATGGCTCTCAAACCTCGGAAAATATTGTGTCTAATTATCAAGACATGTGGATGAAATTTCAATGGGAAGGGCAAGAGGTTAAGCTAACTAACCGGGGAGATCCAGATGAAAACCATATCCGAAATATAGATGGAGAGACTGTTGAGTAATCTGCTCAAGTAGCTTCAACACAATTGTGTAGCATTACCTTGCGGGATGCACATTCATCGAGCATGATTTTTCCATAGAAGAGGTCGCACGACCATGAACAAGGTTCAACTAAAATCTCGACCTTGTTGGATGAATTTCGGGTTGTTTCTTTTTAGCCTAACGCATTACCTCCTAATAGGTCGCAAGATCACTCGAATTCCTCTACCGAAAGGTACGTAACCCGTATGCAAAAAGCCATATCAATATTCAGTATTACAAAAAGATGTTGTAGAAAAGCTAGTGAAAGAAATGCTTACTTCGGGAATCATTCAACGAGTGTCGCCCCTTTGCTTCCTCGGTAGTTCTAGTTAAGAAAAAAGATGGATTGTTATGATTATGTGTAGATTATAGGGCTTTAAACAATAGCACTCGTCAAAAATAAATTCCTCATTCCTTTAATTGATGAGTGGTTGGAGGAGTTACATGGAGCAACCATTTACTCCAAACTAGATTTATGCTCAAGTTATCACCAAATTCGTATGTTCTACCATGATATTCCTAAAACAGCTTTCAAGATGCACCACGGCCATTACAAATTCTTGGTAATGGCCTTCGGCCTCACCAATGTCCCCGCCACCTTTCGGAGCTTAATGAATGAGGTCTTTCATGACTGGTTATGAAAGTTTATGCTAGTGTTCTTTGATGACATCCTTATCTACAGGAAGACTCTCAAAGACCATCTCGCCCATCTCAAAACAAGTATTAATGCTATTAAAAACTCATTAGTTGTATGCAAAAATTATTAAATACATTTTTAGGGTAGATTAGGTTGAATACTTGAGGCATTTTATCTCAGCTGAAGAAGTCTCCACTAACCCTAAGAAGATTCAAGCAATAGTGGAATGGCTTACTCCAAGAAATTTAAAGCAATTACGTGGGTTCTTAGGGTTAGCAAGCTACTATCGCAGGTTCATAAAGGGATATGGCATGATCAGTAAGCCATTAACATCCCTATTGAAGAAGGATGCTTTCCACCCAACGGAGGAATCTATTACTCGCCTTTAACGCACTTAAGGTAGCTTTATCTTCGACTCATGTTCTCGTTTTACCCGACCTTACCAAGGAATTTACACTTAAAATGGATGTCTCTAGCACTTGGATTGGTGTTGTTCTAATGCAACAGGGACACCTAATTGGTTTCTTTAGTAAGGGCCTCTCATCCGAGCATCGATCACTATCTACTTATGAAAGGGAGTTACTAGCAATCATACAGAGTTATACGACAATGAAGACACTATTTAGAATCACGACATTTTAAGATTAAAACAGAACACCAAAGCCTCAAATTTCTCCTAGAGCAGAAATTAGCTACCTTCAATCAACATACATGGTTGGTCAAGCTATTAGGCTTTGATTATGAAATCCTTTACAAGAAAGATAAGGAAAACTTAGCTACGTACGCACTCTTCAAACTACCTAGCTATAATGTTCATTTTATAACTATTTCTACATTGTCCTCCGACATACTTCGACAAGTAAATGACTCTTGGGTAGCTAACCTTTCCATTAAGCAAATACTCGTCGGATATAGAGCATAACCCAATGGTACACCCTTTGTACAAGTGGCAAGGATACAATTTTAACTAGGAGAGAAAGATTAATTGTGGGTAAGGATGATAACCTAAGAAGACACATTGTGAGTATGTTCCATGATTCGACCTTAGGGGGACATTCGGATATGGTAACTACTTATAAGAAATTGGGTGGTGTTTCTCATTGGAAGGGATTACAAGGTGATGTTAGACAGGACATCGAGAGTGTCAAACATGCCAAGCTTACAAGCTTGAATTAGTGGCTACATCGAGGCTACTATAACCCCTTTTCATACCACAAAGGGTCTTCACCGATATATCCATAGTTTTCATAAAGGGGCTTCCTAAATCCAAGGGAAAGGAAGTCATTTTTATGGTGGTAAATCACCTCAACAAGTATGCTCATTTCATGAGCATTCCTCATCCTTATACTCGCCTGTGTGATAGCTCAAGTATGCATGGATACAGTTTTCAAACTTATGGGTTACCTTCCATAATTATCGGTGATAGAGATGTAGTGTTTTTGAGCATTTTTTAGAAAGAATTGTTCACTCTACAAGGGATGGATCTTCACTACTCCACTACTCACCATCCTTAGTCCAATGGTTAGACCGAAATGGTGAATCGTTGCTTGGAAACCTATATGGCAGGAGATACTCCATCTAATTGGTATAAGTGGCTTCCTCTTGCAGAATGGTGGTATAACATCAATTACCATTCCTCGACCAAAATAACACCATTCAAGGCAATTTATAGTTACCCACCCCTAATCCATCTTCTCTACACCTTTAAGGACTCCCCGATGGAAGTTGTAGACCATTATCTCGATAC